GTTCAGGGACCCGTATGTGTTTAGGGACCCGGAGGTGCGTTCAGGGACAGGGTGGTGTGATGTGTTCAGGGACCCGGAGGTGCGTTCAGGGACAGGATGGTGTCATGTGTTCAGGGACCCGGAGGTGCGTTCAGGACAGGGTGGTGTCATGTGTTCAGGGACCCGGAGTTGCGTTCAGGGACAGGGTGGTGTGATGTGTTCAGGGACCCGGAGGTGCGTTCAGAGACAGGGTGGTGTGATGTGTTCAGGGACCCGGATGTGCGTTCAGGACAGGGTGGTGTCATGTGTTCAGGGACCCGGAGGTGCGTTCAGGGACAGGGTGGTGTGATGTGTTCAGGGACCCGGAGGTGCGTTCAGGGACAGGGTGGTGTGATGTGTTCAGGGACCCGGAGGTGCGTTCAGGGACAGGATGGTGTCATGTGTTTGGGACCCGGAGGTGCGTTCAGGACAGGGTGGTGTCATGTGTTCAGGGACCCGGAGGTGCGTTCAGGGGCAGGGTGGTGTGATGTGTTCAGGGACCCGGAGGTGCATTCAGGCACAGGGTGGTGTGATGTGTTCAGGGACCCGGAGGTGCGTTCAGGGACAGGGTGGTGTGATGTGTTCAGGGACCCGTAGGTGCGTTCAGGCACAGGGTGGTGTGATGTGTTCAGGGACCCGGAGGTGCATTCAGGGACAGGGTGGTGTGATGTGTTCAGGGACCCGGAGGTGCGTTCAGGGACAGGGTGGTGTGATGTGTTCAGGGACCCGGAGGTGCGTCCAGGGGCAGGGTGGTGTGATGTGTTCAGGGACCCGGAGGTGCGTTCAGTGACAGGGTGGTGTGATGTGTTCAGGGACCCGGAGGTGCGTTCAGGCACAGGGTGGTGTGATGTGTTCAGGGACCCGGAGGTGCGTTCAGGGACAGGGTGGTGTGATGTGTTCAGGGACCCGGAGGTGCGTTCAGGGACAGGGTGGTGTGATGTGTTCAGGGACCCGGAGGTGCGTCTAGGACAGGGTGGTGTCATGTGTTCAGGGACCCGGAGGTGCGTTCTGGGACAGGGTGGTGTGATGTGTTCAGGGACCCGGAGGTGCGTTCAGGACAGGGTGGTGTCATGTGTTCAGGGACCCGTAGGTGCATTCAGGGACAGGGTGGTGTGATGTGTTCAGGGACCCGGAAGTGCGTTCAGGACAGGGTGGTGTCATGTGTTCAGGGACCCGTAGGTGCGTTCAGGGACAGGGTGGTGTCATGTGTTCAGGGACCCGTAGGTGCGTTCAGGGACCCGTGGGTGTGATGTGTTCAGGGACCCGGAGGTGCGTTCAGGGACAGGGTGTTGTTATGTGTTCAGGGACCCGTGGGTGTGATGTGTTCAGGGACCCGGAGGTGCGTTCAGGACAGGGTGGTGTCATGTGTTCAGGGACCCGGAGGTGCGTTCAGGGACAGGGTGGTGTGATGTGTTCAGGGACCTGGAGGTGTGTTCAGGGAAAAGGTGGTGTGATGTGTTCAGGGACCCGGAGGTGCGTTCAAGGAAAGGGTGGTGTGATGTGTTCAGGAACCCGGAGGTGCGTTCAGGGAAAGGGTGGTGTGATGTGTTCAGGGACCCGGAGGTGCGTTCAGGGACCTGCGGTGCAGAAGTGGCTGCTCTCGCTCCAGATGGAGACACTGTACTCTCCGTCCGGCTGCTTGCTGGCCGTCTGCACCGACACGCTGTACTGCGTGCGGGGGCTCAGGAACCAGTGGCCGCGCACCGTCATCGGCAGAGGAACCGCCCGCGCCACCAGCTTAGTGGGGACGTCCTGGAGAACAAAACATAAACAAAAACAAAGAATTAAAGAAGGAGGAAGTGGTTCTCCTGTGCCCTGGATATGTTTGAGTTATCTTTGCCACTACCCGATCTGCCCCCCTGCCCGATCTGCAGTGCGCATGTGCGAGATGGTCCGCCATATTGGACAACTACATACGGCAACTCTAATAGGACACTTGACACAGTGACATTTGGCAAAACAGAAAAAGAACACTAAAAAACCCGAGAGAGATGAGTTATCGTTATTACAACGTGACTTCACTATTATTTAACAACTGTTTTTATTGGGTTCTTTTATTTGGGGTTAAGTACATTGTCAGAATAAGTGAGAAATGGATTTAACTTCTGTTAGACAGCTATATAACATACATGTTTGCATACATTCACAGTAAATATTTATTCAGTATGATAGCTGTCTAACAGAAGTTAAATCCATGTCTCACTTATTCTGACAATGTACTTAACCCCAAATAAAAGAACCCAATAAAAAGAGTTGTTAAATAATAGCGAAGTCACGTTGTAATAACAATAACTCATCTCTCTCTCGTTTTCCTTTTGAGCTTTGCCAAAAGCCACTGTGTCAAGTGTCCTACTTGGGTTGCCGTCCGGAGTTGTCCAATATGGCGGACCATCTCGCACATGCGCACTGCAGATCGGGTAGTGACTATGGGTCCTTCTCACTTCGGTTAAATGGATTCCTTGCGTCCCTCACTTGCGTTGTTTCCCTGCGACTAATCCCTCCCACCAGGGAAGCATGGAGAGAGGAAACCACGAGAAACAGGAAATGAGTTTTAAGAGCAATGGGACGTCCTTTCCTCCGGAGCGTCACGTGAAGCGACGTCCGTTTGTAATGACGCTGCACAGCTGATCGTCTGACAGCAGCTCTGTCCCCGTTGTTTTCACAAACACCCCCGCCTCTGTTAGCACACATTTACTGACACTAACATTTGTGTTATCTGTTGTAGATCCCAATACATGAAATAAAAGAACTCATTCTCAAAAAAGATAAACGCCATTCTTAAAATGTATAAACGAACAATAGTTGGATTAATATTGATTAGAGTGCACAATAGAAATACAATAATTGAGAGAAGAAAAAGAGATATGTTATCTATCAAAACCCAGTTAGATTAACATTCATTGGATTGCACACTTTGTGTGTTTGTGTGGATATGTAGCACATTAACATTTCAATAGCACTTAATGACTGAATGGAAATGACAATAAATGAAAATGTAAAACGAAAAAAAAAGCGATCATGAAAATGTTTCCAATAAATGTATAAAATGATTTTTGACCACTTTGTTGTTCAGATATATCACATATTTGTAACTAAATGAAACACTAATTGAAACTAAACACGGTATAAACTGAGGAGTGAGTCCCGTGAGGTTCATGTGTTTTCTTCACTCCGCTGGGAAACTGCTCTCATGTCAAGAAGCATCAGATCAGTGCATGCACTGCATCGTCCAATCAGTGAGCGATACACAGTAAGGGGGCGGGGCGAGTGTCTGAGGATTTCATCGAAGGATGGTCTGGTGGTTCCTCGATTATCGCTCCTCGGTCCTCCGGCAGAAATAAGGCCATTGAGACGCTACTCAAGATGGCGCAGACAAATCAACTTCCGGTGAGACCGAGGCCGAGGAGCGAGGAAATGAAAATAGTCGACCTGAGACGGGGACCCTGACAATCTTAACTAACTCAAAACAAACGCGCTCTCGCTAAGCGGTCCTACGACGCTGGTTATCAACTCGGTAACTCAAGTGCTCGTTCACATGAAAGGGGAGGGGTTAGCAACATTTGACCAATCACAAACATGGACAAGTGTACTGCTTTTTGCATGATAGGACACCTTTAAAGTAACGAGTGGTTCTCCTTGTGTCCCTCACCTTGTGTTTGAAGTGGTTCTCCTTGGGTTCCTCCTTCTTGTTCAGGTCGATGAAGTAGTGAGTGATGTTGCCCCCCCCCTCCATCTCCCAGCTGATGTTGAAGGAGTCGCAGGTGATGTTGGTGATGACGGGCCGTCGGGGAACCGGGAGAACCTTGAGGCCCCGCCCACTTTCTGCAGGAGAACACATATTATGTAGTGCAGGGGTGCCCAACCTTTTTTGAACCGAGAGCTACTTTTAAAGTTGCCAGTCTGCCGAGATCTACCAGTCAAAATAGAGAGGCGTTACTGACAGCCTGCTACCAGGTAAATACACACTTCTACTTGTATAGAACTGGCCTTTGTACGATTAATACTTCATAAAATACTGCAGATCCTTTATCTCACCTCTTTCTAATCTACACACATACAAGTATTTAACTGAAGTTACACAACAGTGTTGTTGATACAGAGTTGGAGTTTATTCACACGTCACTACAGTGAGTCATGTTTTCAAGAAGCATTGAACAGTGCTGCCACATATGACACAGGAAGAAAATAAAAGACTCTGAACTCTTTCTTTGCCATTATATAAAAATAGTGTTGCTCCAAAAGTATACATTAGGCTTACTAATAAGACGACTCAGATCTGAAGCTACTCAGGAATCTGCTGCCAAAGTGCAATAAAAAAGACAACATTAATAGAATCAAATTTTAGTAGAGTATAAAAAGAAATGCCTTTAAAATAGGATGCAAGCAACACTAGTTTCTTAACCTGAATTGATAATAGACTATAATCAATTTAAACAGAACAGATCTGAATGTTTGCATTCGTATACCATTTTGTACAATAATTATAATGAATAAGTTCAAACAAACTAAAACTTACAGCTGATTAATAACGGTATCTAACTTGAGTTTTTATTATATCAAAAACCTGTTGAAATGCTTCTGTTATTTTTACTGTGCCCAAAAAGCGCGTCGGCAGCCTCCAGGAATGCTTCTTTCACAACTTCGCCGTCTTTGAAAGACTTCATGTGTTTCCAGTGGCGACTGGTCATTAGGGGCAGGTGGGGCACAGCCCCACCTAGTGTCAGCAGAAAGTATTAAAAGTAATGATTACAAAAAAATGCAAAAGATAAATTAAAAAATATATAAAATATATTTTAAGATCATGTTTAATCATCTGATTCGTCTGTACATTGCTGTTTTAGTCTGTGTTCTTCTAATTAGTGTCTACAGTGTGTGCCTATTGAGCTGTTTAGAGCCATGTGGGACAAAACCCGATCCTGCCCCTCCCTCTCCCTGTTTAAGTCAATGGTGACTGTAAAAACTACACTGCGCATGCTCAGAGTATTGTCCTATTTAATGTGTGTGGCAAAAAAATAATGACCAGAGGGGCATAGTGCTGCCATCCCCACCATACGTCATCTCACATAATTCAGAGCTGATTGGCTGTAAGTATGTGTGCCGCGAAAAGTGTGGTGTGTGAAGAGGAGACGAGAGACGCGTCCTAAAACCCGGAAGTAAGCTGCGCATGGCTTCCCTCCACAAAAAAGCAATGAGATTTCTCCATAGGATTTTAGAAAATAGCTCAAAATAAGATCTGTGGGAAACGTAGCTGTTAGATAAATGCACGTTTTGTTCAGCCGGATAATATCCACATGTCTACCCTACTTTTATAATTTTCGAATCATAAATCTATTGATTAGATCAGATTTATGATAGACTTTTGAAACTACAAGAACATAAGGAGGACTTTTACAAAAAAGTAATAGAGATGTTTGTCCAGAAGGATAGGCAAATGGACTTCATCTTCATGTCAAGGTAAGACTGCAATTTGATTGAAAATGGGATCTTACTAAGAGAGAACAATTCAATATTTAAATGATACAATTACATTTTTTGGGTATCCTTTTGTTGAACTGTCTGTTTAAAATTAATTGAAGCATCAGACAAAAAAAGCTTTTGAAAATAATATTATATTTTGATTTAGGTCAAAATATAATATTTGTAAACCTGAAGAGTCAGAGCCTCACCAGCCATGAACCTCACTGCAGAAGCTTATATATAGACATCTAAGTTTTTTGTGCCCCACCACTTTTGTACATATAAAAACGCCACTGTGTGTTTCTCAAGAACGTGACTGACACGATAAGATGCTCTGGTAGCAGCCTTGCTCTTGTTGTTGGGCCTGGTGAAAATGGACTGCTGTGCATTTAGCTGTGCTCTCAGGCCCCTCCCCTTTTGGAGCGTAGGGCAGAATCAGGAGGGAATTCCGTCTCGTAGCGTTTGTGCACTGTTTTGAAATGCCGCTCCTAAATTACCCTTCTTCGATAAAGCCACGCTCGCATTGCAGATGAGACAGATGGAATTTGAATTGGAATAGATACAAAAATAATGATCCTCCCACTCGGAGTGAGAATTATATATTTTGGGCTTTTTTGCTTCTGCCATAATTGCGGTCTTGTGTGTGTGCGGACTGTCACTCCTGTTGACACGGACAACCTCAGCGAAATAGTGCACTGCCCACCAGCCACGCCCCGACACATGGGGTCTAGCCGGCCAATCACAAAGCTTTGATGCGTTCAAGTGCATTATTCTGGCACAGGAAGATTATGTTACAGGACATTAACGATAAAACAGAATGTTGTTGTTCTATTTTTAGACACATCTCGCGATCGACTGGGAATTTCGCGATCGATCGACTGGTTGGGCACCCCTGATGTAGTGTGTACTTTAAAGATTCCTCTCCTGCTGATGTTCAGGTGTATATCAGCATATAGTGTCTCTACTTTAAAGAGTCCTCTCCTCTGATGTTCAGGTGTATATCAGTATGTAGAGTCTCTACTTTAAAGAGTCCTCTCCTGCTGATGTTCAGGTGTATATCAGTATGTAGTGTCTCTACTTTAAAGAGTCCTCTCCAGCTGATGTTCAGGTGTATATCAGTATGTAGTGTCTCTACTTTAAAGAGTCCTCTCCTGCTGATGTTCAGGTGTATATCAGTATGTAGTGTCTCTACTTTAAAGAGTCCTCTCCTGCTGATGTTCAGGTGTATATCAGTATGTAGACTCTCTACTTTAAAGAGTCCTCTCCTGTTGATGCTCAGGTGTATATCAGTATGTAGTGTCTCTACTTTAAAGAGTCCTCTCCTGCTGATGTTCAGGTGTATATCAGTATGTAGTGTCTCTACTTTAAAGAGTCCTCTCCTGCTGATGTTCAGGTGTATATCAGTATGTAGTGTCTCTACTTTAAAGAGTCCTCTCCTGCTGATGTTCAGGTGTATATCAGTATGTAGTGTCTCTACTTTAAAGAGTCCTCTCCTGCTGATGTTCAGGTGTATATCAGTATGTAGACTCTCTACTTTAAAGAGTCCTCTCCTGTTGATGCTCAGGTGTATATCAGTATGTAGTGTCTCTACTTTAAAGAGTCCTCTCCTGCTGATGTTCAGGTGTATATCAGTATGTAGTGTCTCTACTTTAAAGAGTCCTCTCCTGCTGATGTTCAGGTGTATATCAGTATGTAGTGTATCTACTTTAAAGAGTCCTCTCCTGCTGATGTTCAGGTGTACATCAGTATGTATAGTGTCTCTACTTTGAAGAGTCCTCTCCTGCTGATGTTCAGGTGTACATCAGTATGTATAGTGTCTCTACTTTAAAGAGTCCTCTCCTGCTGATGTTCAGGTGTATATCAGTATGTAGAGTCTCTACTTTAAAGAGTCCTCTCCTGCTGATGTTCAGGTGTATATCAGTATGTAGAGTCTCTACTTTAAAGAGTCCTCTCCTGCTGATGTTCAGGTGTATATCAGTATGTAGTGTCTCTGCTTTAAAGAGTCCTCTCCTGCTGATGTTCAGGTGTATATCAGTATGTAGTGTCTCTACTTTAAAGAGTCCTCTCCTGCTGATGTTCAGGTGTATATCAGTATGTAGTGTCTCTACTTTAAAGAGTCCTCTCCTGCTGATGTTCAGGTGTATATCAGTATGTAGCGTCTCTACTTTAAAGAGTCCTCTCCTGCTGATGTTCAGGTGTATATCAGTATGTAGTGTCTCTACTTTAAAGAGTCCTCTCCTGCTGATGTTCAGGTGTATATCAGTATGTAGACTCTCTACTTTAAAGAGTCCTCTCCTGCTGAAAACGTCACACTGGCCCTTTAAGAGAGGTGATGAACCGTGAAGATGTTTCAGGATGTCTTTAGTCCTCTTTAGAGAACAAGGAACCCGTTGAAACTAAACCCAGCAGTACCACCTCCTCCTCCTCCTCCTCCCTGAATGGAGGAGGTGAAGCGTCCTCGTTAAGGTAATTCGCCTCAGACACTGAAGGAGTTCTTTAAAGGGTTCAGCAGAGAGACTCAAAGAGACCCTGAAACACTCAAGTCTCTCACCGTGAGCTCAGCAGCTACAGAGCAACATGAATAGAAATAGGGCAATAAGAGTCTGTACACGTAGATGGAATATGATATATTAGATCAATAATCATCAAGATGCATCAGATGAATGTTCTGGATGTTCTTCACAGAGTTCAGGAGAGTAACATCTGATGAGGGGAAGAATGAAAAGGAAAAACACAGAGACTCTGAAGTTATATAGACACCGGAGAGGAGCAATAACAACTCTGATATAAAACGACCACAAAGAGACAGAGCAGGAATTATTGATGTTATTTTACGCAGGAATATTAAAAATTCGCATTTATTTGCTCAGTCAACTCTGAAAGAACACACACAGACACACACACACACAGACACACCTTCGCTGTCACTCCGCTGCAGACTCTTGGTGTCGCCGGGCTCCATCATCTTCACATCCAGAGAGGAAGAAGAAAGAGGATCAAATAATAAATAATAAAAACTCAGAGAGAAATCAAATGTTCAGTTCCTGTGACGCTGCGTCAGGACAACATCCAGATTCAGACAGAAAGCTTCCAGAGCTGCTCCCGTGTGTGTGTGTGTGTGTGTGTGTGTGTGTGTGTGTGTGTGTGTGTGTGTGTGTGTGTGTGTGTGTGTGTGTGTGTGTGTGATCACAGAGGGGGGGGGGGGGGGGGGGCTTTAAACTACTGTAATCTATAGTTGTACAGTAATGTAGAAATGGTGAGGGGCAGGGTAGGATTTACACCGGCGGCCATGACCGTCATTGCCCCTCGGTCTGGCCGTGAAGCCCCGAAAATAATTGTACGTCCCGCTACGGCCACCATGGCCCGCGTGCCCCTGATAGTTGCTTTAAAAGCGTCAGAACAGGTTTCTGAACTGCGTCATGCTGCGTTCACAACGGACGCGATGAGAATATTCGCTCTAAGCGCTGGAGTTTCACCGGCTGTCAGCTGTGTTTACTCCTGTCACTCAAACAGGACGCGCTGGAGAGGGGGCGGGGCTTATATCCATGTAAATACTGTGGTGGAAACCAACTACGACTAAATTAACCTATTTTACCGTGATTTAATTGTAATACACGTTTCAAAATTATGCCTTAGTAACTAAATACTGATACCGGTTAGTAAAAACCATGATTTGACAAGTGCAGACGAGACGGCAGGCGAAAAAAGGGGGGGGGGATTAGAGGCAGAAAGTTAATTAAAGAGTCTCTTATGTAAAGAGATCAGCTGCAGCTCTCATCTCTCATCTCTCATACATAACAGTCTGCAATGAAATGGTTGCCTCCTGTGTGCTCCACTTCCTCTTTGGCGCACCGATTAGTTTTTCGTGCTCACGAGAAACGAACCCGTTATCCCGACTTTATTTCTCATGTCCCTTTGGGGCTCCGTAGTTTACATCTTCAGTGCATTTAGAAACTATTTGAGATGTTATCTTATTAGAAAAAACTACTGATATTTACATTAAACATTTGAATATTCTTAATATTCTGTAAAATAACGACAAACCTTGATCTTCTGAGAGTCTGACAACACAACCTCCTGTTTGATCCTTCAGTTAGCATTAGCATGTCAGAGCTTCTGCAGGATGACTTTCATTGCATTTAGAAATAATCTGAGATTGAAAAAATGTTCACGAACTAGAAAAGTGTCTGGAAGAAGCAGCGCTGAAAGGAAACAGCTGACTTGTGTTCTTGTAAACAAACAAACAAACCAACAGTGATGTTACCTCCTAAAAAACTCCTTTAAAAAAACAAGACATTTTTACAGTTTAATAAAAACTTCCCATCTTTATTTAGTTTCGCGCACAAAACACACACATATTTACAGCATGTAAAACAAACAAAACACATTTCAGAATAAAATAGCAATCTTCCAAGCGTCTAGAGTTCCGCCCGGCAACGGGTGAAAGGAGGCGGGGCTTAGACGAGACGTTAACAGGTGAAAGGAGGCGGGGCTGAAAGACAACAGGTGAAAGGAGGCGGGGCTTAGTCGTTAACAGGTGAAAGGAGGCGGGGCTTAGACAAGACGCTAACAGGTGAAAGGAGGCGGGGCTGAAAGACAACAGGTGAAAGGAGGCGGGGTTTAGACGAGACGTTAACAGGTGAAAGGAGGCGGGGCTTAGTCGTTAACAGGTGAAAGGAGGCGAGGCTTAGACAAGACGCTAACAGGTGAAAGGAGGCGGGGCTGAAAGACAACAGGTGAAAGGAGGCGGGGCTTAGTCGTTAACAGGTGAAAGGAGGCGGGGCTTAGACAAGACGCTAACAGGTGAAAGGAGGCGGGGCTTAGACGAGACGTTAACAGGTGAAAGGAGGCGGGGCTTAGTCGTTAACAGGTGAAAGGAGGCGAGGCTTAGACAAGACGCTAACAGGTGAAAGGAGGCGGGGCTGAAAGACAACAGGTGAAAGGAGGCGGGGCTTAGTCGTTAACAGGTGAAAGGAGGCGGGGCTTAGACAAGACGCTAACAGGTGAAAGGAGGCGGGGCTGAAAGACAACAGGTGAAAGGAGGCGGGGTTTAGACGAGACGTTAACAGGTGAAAGGAGGCGGGGCTTAGTCGTTAACAGGTGAAAGGAGGCGAGGCTTAGACAAGACGCTAACAGGTGAAAGGAGGCGGGGCTGAAAGACAACAGGTGAAAGGAGGCGGGGTTTAGACGAGACGTTAACAGGTGAAAGGAGGCGGGGCTGAAACAAGACAACAGGTGAAAGGAGGCGGGGTTTAGACGAGACGTTAACAGGTGAAAGGAGGCGGGGCTGAAACAAGACAACAGGTGAAAGGAGGCGGGGTTTAGACGAGACGTTAACAGGTGAAAGGAGGCGGGGCTGAAACAAGACAACAGGTGAAAGGAGGCGGGGTTTAGACGAGACGTTAACAGGTGAAAGGAGGCGGGGGCTGAAACAAGACAACAGGTGAAAGGAGGCGGGGCTTAGACGAGACGTTAACAGGTGAAAGGAGGCGGGGCTTAGTCGTTAACAGGTGAAAGGAGGCGGGGCTTAGACAAGACGCTAACAGGTGAAATCTGAACGATATGTACATTAAACTGAGTGTGTTTTCCACAGGAAACACTCGGCAGTTCCCCTGATGTTGATGTTGTTGTTGTTGTTGTTGTTGTTTAATGCTGTGTGTCAGCAGGTGAGCCATGGACTCTGAAGCGATACAGACACGTGTACTCCGGGTTCCCCCAGTTAGAGAGAACCTGCAGCTCCACCACCTGGAACCAGAACCCGTTCTGCTCCTGAGGAACAGACCACACAGTTTAAAGTACAGTACTGTGAGTTTAAAGTTACAGTAGTCCTAGCTACAGTATGTTCGTGTACTTTAAAGTAAAGTGTGTCTCACGGTGACGGGGAACGTCTGCAGAGCCTCTCCGTCCTGGTCGTATCTGAAGGAGCCGAGCAGCTTCCCCTCCCCCTCCTCCTCGTCCTGAAGACCCTGAGAACACCAATAGACACATAGACATTTACTAATCTACATTTTAACATTTCTGAGTGTTTCCTAATAATTTCTTTCTTGTAAAATGTTCAGCCCTTCCCTTAATAAAAGTCTCCCTTACGTAGACCCTGAAGTCCCTCGGGGCGCTGCTAGACGTCCCGCTGGGAGACAGAGATCTAGGGACGTGCTCCAGAGAGAAGGACGACGGGGACACACTCATCGAGAGGCGGAGCACCAGGACTCCTGAAGAGCCTCTGAACGCCCAACAGTTACCTGGCTGGACATCAGGCTGGAGGAGGAGGAGGAGGAGGAGGAGGAGGAGGAGGAGGAGGAGGAGGAGGAGGAGGAGGAGGAGGAGGAGGAGGAGGAGGAGGAGGAGGAGGAGGAGGAGGAGGAGGAGGAGGAGGAGGAGGAGGAGGAGGAGGAGGAGGAGGAGTTAGTGGAGTAACTGCAGGATGTCGTTACAGAGCCTCATGAAGAGGGTTAATAATGTGAAGGAAACTGGTTAAATGCATTTGGATGAAGCTGAGAGCTAGTGATGAGATGAAGAAAATAAAGCACCTGTATGACTGCGCGGGGGCTCTGGGAGAAGAACCAGAGAGGAAGTCCGAACAGACTGAGCAGCGCCGTCTTGGTCTCGTAGGTCTGAGAGCATCTGGAGCTGAGGATGCTGCCCCCTGCAGGGCGGAGGAGGAACAACGCCGTCAGAACAACAGCCAGAACAACACCGCCAGAACAACACCGTCAGAGTCAGAACAACGGCGTCAGAACAAGATTCAAGGCTTTTATTGTCATGTGTTCATATCTACAGTGGAGGTATCCCAGGCTCCTCCAACAGAGCAACACAATAACACAGACCAAAGTGCAAGTCAATACAAATAGAACAGAAATAGTGCAGAATAGTCTCTATACAAGTAATTGGAATATTGATATACGAGTAGCAGCCAGATGAATGTTCTGGATGCTCAGGTGTTCAACAGTCTGATGGCCTGTGGGATGAAACTGAGTCTGGTGCCGTTGGTCCTGGTACCAGTCAGCTGCTGGTTACATCCCATTAAACAGAGTATTATGTAACATTATGACACAACACACCTCCGGACTCCAGGGCGTAGTCTGCACGGCCGGTTCGATCCTGAGAGAAGATCCTCAGCGCGTCCTGCACCATCTCACGCACCTCCTGCAGGAGAACAACACCCTCACTGTTATGTCTTTATTGATATATGGGGAGGGAGGCTGTGGCGTAGTGGACTCGTACGTTGGTGTTCGGAAACTCGTTAAATGCATTTGGATAAACCTGAGAGTGAGCACGTGAAAACCACTAAACTGAAACCTAGTTTTTAGAGTAATTTCTATTTTTTTCGAGTAAATATGTGAGTTTTTTTACTCAGAAATGCTTCTAAAGAGCAAAAACTCACCAATATTCTTCTAATTTGAGCTCCATTTGAATCTGTATCTCACCTCCTTAGTGACGGTGGTTTTTCCCCCCGTGGTTCCAGCTTGGTTCAGTCCGTCCTCTCCGAGTTGCTCCCTGCTGATGTCCTGCAGGACTCTGATGTCCTGCAGGTCTCTGATGTCCTGCAGGACTCTGGTCTCCACAGAGGACAGCGCCCCCTGCAGGTCGGCCTGGCTCACATAGTGCTGCTGCAGCCACTGGAGGAGGGGCTGCGGGGGGGCGGAGTCATCTCCTGAAGCCCCGCCCCCTACAGTCAGCTGGTTCCCGTACAGAAGGACCCGGACCTCCTCCCGGACCTGAGCGGAGACCAACTCTGAAACCTGACGGAGGAAGATTACACCTCATTATATTGGAAATCATTTTAAAAGTATCTGGCTTTGAATTTCACACATTTCCTGCTGCTGTTTGACATTAAAAGATAAAATGAGGTTAAAAAGTACCTTGAGTTTGATATAAACTACAATGTATAGGTAGCCGAGTAGCCCAGATGTTATAAGGGTAGCTTAAATAAGATTAAAAGTAGTCTTTACATGATAACAATTCCCTACATTTGACTGAAGAAATCGTAATATGATGATAAGTGGCTTTAATAAGATATAAAGTAACTGAAATGTAATTATTGTAGCCTAAATATGATTATAGGTTGCATTAATTAGCTTAAATGTAGTTTGATTTTTTTTAAAGTAGCTTTAATATTATTAAAAATGTATGAGTGTAACACCTGCGTCACTTCCGGGCGAAAAGTACGGCCCCGCCCACTTTGAGGAAAACAACGCTGTCATTTGAACGGCGGTCGATACACATTCTGAAGTTTTTACCAATCCGATCAGAAATGTTTGAAAACCGTGGATTTTCTGATCTTCAAAGAGCCGGATGACGACGGCCAGTCAGGCAAACAATTACATTCAATCATTTGAAATCGAGAATCGGGCTCGATATATGGTTAAATTAAAATCAGTAGGCGAGGCTGTAATTTCTCCAGCTGTTACTCTCATGAGCGAGGCGGAAAGTAATAGTGTTATCACGCCAACAAGCTGCAGGGTCGTTTATTGCTCCTCAAACATTCAAACAAATCCAGAGTTTCTGAACTTCCTCTGAGAAGAAAGGACAAAGAAGAGCTCTGTGGCTTCAGGCTCGACCGCCGTTCAAATGACAGCGTTGGTTTCCCCCAAAAGTGGGCGTAGCCGTAAAGTGACGTAGATGTTACTCTTATCTATGACATCGATCGCCTACTGCTATATTTAACCATATATCGAGCCCGCTCGTCGATCTCCAATGATTTAATGTGATTGTTTTCCTGACTGGCCATCGGGCTCTTTGAAGATCCACAGTTTTCAAACATTTCTGATCGGATTGGCAAAAACTTCAGAATATGTATTGATCGCCGTTCAAATGACAGCTGTGTTTTTCCCCAAAAGTGGGCGGAGCCGTACTTTTTGCCCGGAAGTAACGCAGATGTTACTCTCATGTATAGCCTAAAAAAGCTAAATAGAGGCTTACATTTGAGAGGTGGTATTAGTAGTTTGTAAATATGTAAGTATTTAAAAAAAAAAAAATCTTTTAAACTTTAGATTTTTTCTTGTAAATGTGTGAAATAAAATGTTCTGCTGCTGCTTCACAATAAAAGCCTTGCTGGTGAGGGGCTTTTATTTTGAAGCAGCTTCAGGAACAGAGAGGTCCGGTTCGTCTGGCCTCTCACCGTCTGCTGGATGTTCTCCAGGTGTTCTTGGTTCTCCTGACGCTCCGACAGATCCTCCACCTGCTTCCTCACCTCCTGCAGAGCCTCATGCAGCCGCGTCACCTCCGACAGCAATGCATCATGGGAGTGACGGTCCACCCCCCCACTGCAGGAAGACAGAGTTAAAGTGAGAGCGTAACTGTTAGAAAACTCTCCCTGATCCCCGCCTCAAGCTTCATCCTCAGGATCCATGTATCTGTGATCCTCTCCAGAATGGAAGGAGTCATCACATACAGAGCATCAAGTAGTTCCTGAACAGTGTCCTTCACATGCTGATATCAAGAGAGGGAGTTACACAGTCACAAGATGGAGGAACAGAAAGCAGTATTCAATGTTTACTTCAGATTAGCTCCACGTCAGAAATGAGCATGCTTGATGTCTCTCTCCATAGAGGCTGAATCATCATGTTAATCACATAGCTATCATCTGCCTCAAACAGTCCTGATGCTCTTCCAGGTAATCACACATCCTGTCATGTTCACAGCTACAGTTGGGGTACCTTTGATAGCATGCTGCTCTCATGTTGGAGGAGGACACTCACAACAGTAACATATTCAATAAAGAAGGAAGAGGAAGGAGACGTTATGTTCTCCTGTTGGTGTTAAATATGGAACAAACTACAGCTGACTGAAGTGGAGAAGAGGAGGGGGATGAAGGTTACCTGAGAGAAACAGGAAGTGTTGTTGAGGAAGGAGAACCTGCAGCAGCAGCAGCTTCCTGTCTGCACTGCAGCTCCTGAGAGGAGAAATACAAAATAAATAAACTTCCGTTAAGAGTAATATGATTACAGATCACCTATCAGGCTGTTTCTAGGCAATAGCATAGAAATACAGATATATAGAAACATGTCTGAAGTGTTTTGCTCCAAACACCAAACAGATCATTCTAGCCACGCCTCATATCCCTCTGTTTCACTTCCTGTTTCTAAAGTGCTGATTTGGGTATAAAGCTTTAAAGAGGAGGGTCTGAGCTCATGCGGGACCCGGCAGCTACCGTCTAAACTAAATGCTGCCGTGATGAAACTCCATATCATGGATTATCAAGGATTCTCTCTGAAACAGTCTGGAGCTCAAAGGCTTTCTCTCTTGCCGGTTATACCACAAGGTGAGTTCCTTTCTACTTCCTGCTTCTTCACACACATGCTCTCCAGTACAGGTTAGCTCTGAGTGTTAGCATGCTAATGTAAACACCGACCATATTACGTCCAAAACAGTCGGGCATTGTTTCTGTTGGCAACTTTCTGATTGGGCCGTGGGTCCACATTTCAGATATTACGTCATATCGGACGCAAATCTGGATCAGCTCCGTTGTTCCCCGTTTTTAGAGATTTGGGTACGGAGGAAAAGAGGGAGGGGTTTATTTCCTGACGCTGCGTGAGTTCCCCGACACACCGGGGCAGGGGCGGACTGGCCATTGGGAATACCGGGAGTTTTCCCGGTGGGCCGGTGCTGTGCGTGATATTTTTTTTCACGCACAGCATGAAAAATTGTCCGGAAAAATGAAAAATTGTCCGGAACATTTTTTTTTCCAGCCACTCCCTGGAGGGGTGCCCACACCCCACTGGGCTGGGCCGTTTTGATAGGCTACCTATGTTCTATCTATCAGATAGTTTCACTTTCACACATCAGGGCCGTAGCAGCTGTCACTGCAGTGACCGATCAGGAGCGAGTGACTGAGAAACCGAGCTGGCAGTCGCTTACAGATGGATAAACAAGCTCCAAAGCGTAAAGGCGTTTTTGTATAGTTTGTGTATACAGTATACAGTATTGTAGCGAGCCCTGGGTTCAGAGGGAGGGGCTTACATAGGGGAGGGGGGGGGGAAACGGGGGTTCAGGGGGAGTGGCTGTACCCGTAGGATAGAAAAAGGGGAAGTGCCGTCTGACTCAGAGGTGGCGCGGCTGTGGAGCAGAACGTGCTGCTCACATTCTGTTACTGAGTTTAGGCTAGTTAGCTAGCAGGCTTATTGTTCTGGGTGCCGTCGCTTTGCCTCCACTTGCTGTTCAAATACATGTTGAAAGAAAAAGTCAATCTGTTTACAGTTCTGTTTCATATGGGTGTTGAGAGATGTATCCATAGATTTAGTCCCTAATGTTGCTCTCAAAGTGCACCAGATTGATGCTTTTAACTTCAACATTTAAAAATCTCTTCGCGGGGGAGCTTGCCCCCGGACCCCCCTCGAGGAGGTGAGGTCCACCACCTGCCCACACCCCCTGTTAAATGGTCTCACCCACATTGAGGATGCTTCCTACGCCCATGTTTTATTCCATGCGTCAAGTCAGGCAAATTGGGTCAAAATGTTATTGCATGAAAGATCTGTTAACATTAAAATCACTAAATATATGCTGTAACTATTTAGCTCTAGCAACTCAAGGGCTGCTCAGGTGATGTGATGACTTTATGAGTAATGCTCCAGAATAACATCAAATGCAGGGTTTTTTTGTTAAGTTACATACTTTTGTCGCCGGCCGGCCGAGACATGCCGCACATTAAGTGGGCCTGTCTGTCAATTAATCCCCGGGCAACTTTTTCCTCCCAGTCCGCCCCTGACCCGGGGACACATATTTATGTAGAGAAGACATCACAAAGTGCATTTTGCACGATAGGTCCCCTTTAAAAAGATGCAAAAAATATAAAAAAGCAGCAAAGATATAACTGAAATTAGCCTAAATTGGATTATAAAAAGTCTAAATTGGATAAAATGGTCTTTTCAACTTCAATTTCAACAAAGCTAGCATAGTAACTTTAAATCTAGTCAAAATATGATTTGAATAGCCTAAATAGCTTCAAAACTAGCACTAACATTTATAACTAGCTTAACCTTATTAAAACTAGCCTAAATATGATTAATAGTATTCTAAATAAGAATACCAGCAACTTGAACAGCATGAGATCTCTCCTCAGTGTTATTGCAGGTGTGTGTGTGTGTGTGTGTGTGTGTGTGTAGGTTTACTTCTGTTTGTTCAGCCAGGCTCTGCAGCTGCAGCTCCAGCTGATCCACACGAGACGTTTCCCTCTGCTGCTGCAACACCTCCTGCTGACACACACACAGTGAAGGAACTACAACTCCCAGCATGCTCAGCAAATCTGACCAACAACTCTCAAAAGCTACCAGACTTCCACCTCATTGAGGACGGGGGTTGCTGCTGTGATTCTGTCTCACCCTGTGGGTCTGTCTCACCCTGTGGGTCTGTGGGTCTGTGGGTCTGTGGGTCTGTCTCACCCTGTGTGTGGGTCTGTCTCACCCCCCTGTGGGTCTGTCCGTCTCACCCCCCTGTGGGTGGGTCCGTCTCACCCCCCTGTGGGTGGGTCCGTCTCACCCCCCTGTGGGTGGGTCCGTCTCACCCCCCTGTGGGTGGGTCCGTCTCACCCCCCTGTGGGTGGGTCCGTCTCACCCCCCTGTGGGGTGGGTCCGTCTCACCCCCCTGTGGGTGGGTCCGTCTCACCCTGTGGGTGGGTCCGTCTCACCCTGTGGTGGGTCCGTCTCACCCCCTGTGTGTGGGTCCGTCTCACCCCGTGTGTGGGTCCGTCTCACCCCGTGTGTGGGTCCGTCTCACCCCGTGTGTGGGTCCGTCTCACCCCGTGTGTGGGTCCGTCTCACCCCGTGTGTGGGTCCGTCTCACCCCCCTGTGGGTCCGTCTCACCCTGTGGGTGGGTCCGTCTCACCCTGTGGGTGGGTCCGTCTCACCCTGTGGGTGGGTCCGTCTCACCCTGTGGGTGGGTCCGTCTCACCCTGTGGGTGGGTCCGTCTCACCCTGTGGGTGGGTCCGTCTCACCCTGTGGGTGGGTCCGTCTCACCCTGTGGGTGGGTCCGTCTCACCCTGTGGGTGGGTCCGTCTCACCCCCCTGTGAGTCTGTCTCACCCGTGTGTGGGTCTGTCTCACCCGTGTGTGGGTCTGTCTCACCCGTGTGTGGGTGGGTCTGTCTCACCCTGTGGGTGGGTCTGTCTCACCCTGTGGGTGGGTCTGTCTCACCCTGTGGGTGGGTCTGTCTCACCCCCCTGTGGGTCTGTCTCACCCTGTGTGTGGGTCTGTCTCACCCCCCTGTGAGTCTGTCTCACCCTGTGAGTGGGTCTGTCTCACCCTGTGAGTGGGTCTGTCTCACCCTGTGAGTGGGTCTGTCTCACCCTGTGAGTGGGTCTGTCTCACCCTGTGAGTGGGTCTGTCTCACCCTGTGTGTGGGTCTGTCTCACCCCCCTGTGAGTGGGTCTGTCTCACCCTGTGAGTGGGTCTGTCTCACCCCCCTGTGAGTCTGTCTCACCCTGTGGGTGGGTCTGTCTCACCCTGTGGGTGGGTCTGTCTCACCCTGTGGGTGGGTCTGTCTCACCCTGTGGGTGGGTCTGTCTCACCCTGTGGGTGGGTCTGTCTCACCCTGTGGGTGGGTCTGTCTCACCCTGTGGGTGGGTCTGTCTCACCCCCCTGTGAGTCTGTCTCACCCTGTGTGTGGGTCTGTCTCACCCCCCTGTGAGGGTCTGTCTCACCCCCCTGTGAGGGTCTGTCTCACCCCCCTGTGAGGGTCTGTCTCACCCCCCTGTGAGGGTCTGTCTCACCCCCCTGTGAGGGTCTGTCTCACCCCCCTGTGAGGGTCTGTCTCACCCCCCTGTGAGGGTCTGTCTCACCCTGTGTGTGGGTCTGTCTCACCCCCCTGTGAGTGGGTCTGTCTCACCCTGTGAGTGGGTCTGTCTCACCCTGTTCTGTGTCACTGTGTGAATCTGAACCAATGCTTTAAAGCACTTAAACGTCACAAATCAACACCAACTAAGTAACTGAAGGAGCAGCAGCATCACACCAGCATGTTTGTCAATGAGTCTGGGGGTCTGAAACTCCCTCGCATCTTAACAGAGAGAGGGGCTCTATTCTGCTCAGGGTGTTCATATCAGTATGTAGGGTCTCTACTGGGACATGTCTCCATGGTCTGTGCTGCTGCACCTCTTTTCACCCTCCGTCTGAAACCAGAGTCCAGTCTGCTCTGATTGGTTCTGCTCGGTTGTGATTATATGTATAAACAGACTAAAGTACCCGTGTGATGTATCTAGAGTACCCGTGTGATGCATCTGGAGTACCCGTGTGATGCATCTAGAGTACCCGTGTGATGCATCTGGAGTACCCGTGTGATGCATCTGGAGTACCCGTGTGATGCATCTGGAGTACCCGTGTGATGCATCTGGAGTACCCGTGTGATGCATCTGGAGTACCCGTGTGATGCATCTAGAGTACCCGTGTGATGCATCTGGAGTACCCGTGTGATGTATCTGGAGTACCCGTGTGATGTATCTGGAGTACCCGTGTGATGTATCTGGAGTACCCGTGTGATGTATCTGGAGTACCCGTGTGATGCATCTGGAGTACCCGTGTGATGCATCTGGAGTACCCGTGTGATGCATCTGGAGTACCCGTGTGATGCATCTGGAGTACCCGTGTGATGCATCTGGAGTACCCGTGTGATGCATCTGGAGTACCCGTGTGATGGCATCTGGAGTACCCGTGTGATGCATCTGGAGTACCCGTGTGATGCATCTGGAGTACCCGTGTGATGCATCTGGAGTACCCGTGTGATGCATCTGGAGTACCCGTGTGATGCATCTGGAGTACCCGTGTGATGCATCTGGAGTACCCGTGTGATGCATCTGGAGTACCCGTGTGATGCATCTGGAGTACCCGTGTGATGCATCTGGAGTACCCCGTGTGATGCATCTGGAGTACCCGTGTGATGGCATCTGGAGTACCCGTGTGATGCATCTGGAGTACCCAGTGAATGCCTCGGAGTACCCGTTGATGTATCTGGAGTACCCGTGTGATGTATCTGGAGTACCCGTGTGATGCATCTGGAGTACCCGTGTGATGTATCTGGAGTACCCGTGTGATGCATCCTGGAGTACCCGTGTGATGCATCTGGAGTAACCCGTGTGATGCATCTGGAGTACCCGTGTGATGCATCTGGAGTACCCGTGTGATGCATCTGAGTACCCGTGTGATGCATCTGGAGTACCCGTGTGATGCATCTGGAGTACCCGTGTGATGCATCTGGAGTACACGTGTGATGCATCTGGAGTACCCGTGTGATGCATCTGGAGTACCCGTGTGATGTATCTGGAGTACCCGTGTGATGTGAGTGCATCTGGAGTACCCGTGTGATGCATCTAGAGTACCCGTGTGACGCATCTAGAGTACCCGTGTGACGCATCTAGAGTACCCGTGTGACGTATCTGGAGTACCCGTGTCATGCATCTGGAGTACCCGTGTGATGCATCTGGAGTACCCGTGTGATGCATCTGGAGTACCCGTGTGATGCATCTGGAGTACCCGTGTGATGCATCTGGAGTACCCGTGTGATGCATCTAGAGTACCCGTGTGATGCATCTATAACCGGAGCGAGTACCCGTGTGATGCATCTGGAGTACCCGTGTGATGCATCTGGAGTACCCGTGTGATGCATCTGGAGTACCCGTGTGATGCATCTGGAGTACCCGTGTGATGCATCTGGAGTACCCGTGTGATGCATCTGGAGTACCCGTGTGATGCATCTAGAGTACCCGTGTGATGCATCTAGAGTACCCGTGTGATGCATCTGGAGTACCCGTGTGATGCATCTGGAGTACCCGTGTGATGTATCTGGAGTACCCGTGTCATGCATCTGGAGTACCCGTGTGATGCATCTAGAGTACCCGTGTGATGCATCTGGAGTACCCGTGTGATGCATCTGGAGTACCCGTGTGATGTATCTGGAGTACCCGTGTCATGCATCTGGAGTACCCGTGTGATGCATCTAGAGTACCCGTGTGATGCATCTAGAGTACCCGTGTGATGTATCTGGAGTACCCGTGTGATGCATCTGGAGTACCCGTGTGATGCATCTGGAGTACCCGTGTGATGCATCTGGAGTACCCGTGTGATGCATCTAGAGTACCCGTGTGATGCATCTGGAGTACCCGTGTGATGCATCTAGAGTACCCGTGTGATGCATCTGGAGTACCCGTGTGATGCATCTGGAGTACCCGTGTGATGTATCTGGAGTACCCGTGTCATGCATCTGGAGTACCCGTGTGATGCATCTAGAGTACCCGTGTGATGCATCTGGAGTACCCGTGTGATGCATCTGGAGTACCCGTGTGATGCATCTGGAGTACCCGTGTGATGCATCTAGAGTACCCGTGTGATGCATCTAGAGTACCCGTGTGATGCATCTGGAGTACCCGTGTGATGCATCTGGAGTACCCGTGTGATGCATCTGGAGTACCCGTGTGATGCATCTGGAGTACCCGTGTGATGCATCTGGAGTACCCGTGTGATTGCATCTGGAGTACCCGTGTGATGCATCTAGAGTACCCCGTGTGATGCATCTGGAGTACCCGTGTGATGTATCTGGAGTACCCGTGTCATGCATCTGGAGTACCCGTGTGATGCATCTGGAGTACCCGTGTGATGCATTCTGGAGTACCCGTGTGATGCATCTGGAGTACCCGTGTGATGTATCTGGAGTACCCGTGTGATGCATCTGGAGTACCCGTGTGATGCATCTGGAGTACCCGTGTGATGCATCTGGAGTACCCGTGTGATGCATCTAGAGTACCCGTGTGATGCATCTGGAGTACCCTGTGTGATGCATCTAGAGTACCCGTGTGATGTATCTGGAGTACCCGTGTGATGTATCTGGAGTACCCGTGTGATGCATCTGGAGTACCCGTGTGATGCATCTGGAGTACCCGTGTGATGCATCTGGAGTACCCGTGTGATGCATCTGGAGTACCCGTGTGATGTATCTGGAGTACCCGTGTCATGCATCTGGAGTACCCGTGTGATGCATCTAGAGTACCCGTGTGATGCATCTAGAGTACCCGTGGGATGCATCTGGAGTACCCGTGTGATGCATCTGGAGTACCCGTGTGATGCATCTGGAGTACCCGTGTGATGTATCTGGAGTACCCGTGTGATGTATCTAGAGTACCCGTGTGATGTATCTGGAGTACCCGTGTGATGTATCTGGAGTACCCGTGTGATGTATCTGGAGTACCCGTGTGATGCATCTGGAGTACCCGTGTGATGCATCTGGAGTACCCGTGTGATGCATCTGGAGTACCCGTGTGATGTATCTGGAGTACCCGTGTGATGCATCTGGAGTACCCGTGTGATGCATCTGGAGTACCCGTGTGATGCATCTGGAGTACCCGTGTGATGTATCTGGAGTACCCGTGTGATGTATCTGGAGTACCCGTGTGATGCATCTGGAGTACCCGTGTGATGTATCTGGAGTACCCGTGTGATGTATCTGGAGTACCCGTGTGATGTATCTGGAGTACCCGTGTGATGCATCTAGAGTACCCGTGTGATGTATCTAGATGTATCAAGAGTACCTGTGATTGGCTCCTCTGCTCCTTCAGCTCCGCCCTCATGCTCTCCAGCTGCTGCTCCATCAGGACGCTCAGAGCCCCGCCCCTCTGACCTGAGATCAGCTGCTGGAGGTCAGAGTAAAGTCTCATCACCTCCCTGTGCCGCTGCTCCTCCTGCTCACCCCCCGTCTCGACTCGCTCCCACAGAGCAGTCACACTGAGCTCCAGACGCTGCAGCCCCTCCTGCCGGGGAGCACAGAGGAGCACTTCTATTAGAAAAGTATGGTGTACAAGTAGACTTAAAGCAACTCAAAGCTGCTTCAAAATGATTAAAAGTAAAACCTTTACATTTTAAGACAACTTTTCATTTGCTGCAGCGCCTCCTGCTGGGGAACAAACTTTTGGCAACTTAAAAAAATGTGGGCAAAGTTTTAATTTGTTTAGGCAACTTAAGAAAGGAACATAGGCTACTTGTAAACAAATAATGTAGGCAACTTTGAATAATTTAAGTCTACTATGAATGCATTCTTTTTGATACCGATATTGGCAAACATCAAACCGCTGTTCAAAGGAATCATTAAGTCGCCTACAGGCCTTTAGACGTGTGATTTAAAGCCTTTGCATCAGTATTTTATGTAGTTCAGGCTTTTTTGTATAGTGTTAGAAACAAGGCGTCTTTATTTTAATTACTTCTATTATTTATTAAATATGTTTTAGGCAACTTTTAATAATGTTTATTACATGGCTTAGTTGAATACTCAATTCTGATTGGTCAATTCAGAACACGTGACACGTTGTTAATCCAGAACAGACAGACCGCTGTCAAGAGTACTTTTCCCCCTTTAGTTCCGTTCGTACCCCTGATGTCGCGTTCACACCGAAAAGAGTACTTAGTGCCGGGAACTTTTACCCCCATTTTTAGTGCCTGCTGAGAGGTGGTTCTCTCCTGGGGGGAAAAAAGTGCCAGGGATATCTAGATACTTCCCAAGGTTTGACATCATGACTTGTGCTACTTTTAAAAGCAAGCAACAATGTTTTCAAATCTGTAATCAAAAAGCTCCGCCTTCCTGCAGTTGCTACGTTTTTCAAACGGTAATTAGGGACTATTTTTCTTAGCGGATGCATGTCAATTTAAATCAATACAACTATTTTTTAAATCAATAAAAACATTTTCTAAATCCATAAAAGCATTTCAGTTAATATTGGGAGTCATGTCGTTACTTTGTGGAGAATGTGGCCGTGTGATGAGCGGGACAACGAGCAGCGACGGGGTCATTATGGGGAAAATAACACCGACAGGCGGATCAGGAGCCCGACGCGGCGGGATCTAGATCTGCATGACTTACATAGTCAACTTTAAAAACATTTAGGCAACTTTTAGTTTGTTTTGGGCAACTCTTTTTAAAAGGTAGGAAACTCTTAATCATTTTTTGTCTACTTAATTTTTTTTTAGGCAACTTTTAATAATTTTGGACAACTTTGCTTTAAAGATCTCACCTGCTCTCCTGCTCCTGTTGCCGGGCGGATGTGGAGCGGCTGCACCTCCATGATCACCTCCTTCTCCATCATCATCACCTCCTTCTCCTCCATCAACTCCTTCTCCTCCATCACCTCCTTCTCCTCCATCACCTCCTTCTCCTCCATCACCTCCTCCTCCTCCTCTGATGCTGGGGGGGAGGAGAAGATGGGCGGGGCTTCAGAGACCTCGGTCCACTGCGCGAGGCTCACAGCTGGGAGGAGGGAGATGAGAGCCGCTGGGGTGAAGAACCAAACAGCTGGAGGAGAGAGAAGATACCAAAACAACATCTCATTTGAATATCTCACTCCTCTTATTCAGATTGAATGATCGGGATGGTTCAAGGCTTTCATCGTCATGTGTGCAGAGTGGCGTTATGACCATGAAGACCTGAGGCTCCTCCAACAGAGCAACACAGATACAATAGTGCAAATAAATAGAATAGAAATAGTGTAAGGAGAGGCTATGAACAGTAAAGTTCAGGTGTTCAACAGTGATGGCCGTAAGACGGAGCAAAGGTGAAGCTGAGAGAGAGGTATCTGATCAGGTTTAACACGTACTGAAGAGGAGGAGCAGAGGGAGGAGAACCAGGAGGAGTCTGAGAGGAGACCTGCAGGAGAAACAACAACAACAACAACAACAGCTTCAACAAACAAGTAAACGTCTTGTTGGATCTGGATTGACCCGATGCTGCCAAAGTAAAGTACGTCAAATCATTTGTATTTAAGTACTTAGTTTACTCAACACCGTGAGCAAAGACAACTTCTGTTAGAGTGATGTGATTAGAGACTAAATGTAATCAGAGACTAAATGTAATCAGAGACTAAATGTGATTAGAGACTAAATGTGATTAGAGACTAAATGTAATCAGAGACTAAATGTGATTAGAGACTAAATGTGATTAGAGACTAAATGTGATTAGAGACTAAATGTGATTAGAGACTAAATGTGATTAGAGACTAAATGTGATCAGAGACTAAATGTGATCAGAGACTAAATGTGATTAGAGACTAAATGTGATCAGAGACTAAATGTGATTAGAGGCTAAATGTGATCAGAGACTATATGTGATTAGAGGCTAAATGTGATTAGAGACTAAATGTGATTAGAGACTAAATGTGATTAGAGACTAAATGTGATCAGAGACTAAATGTGATCAGAGACTAAATGTGATTAGAGGCTAAATGTGATCAGAGACTAAATGTGATCAGAGACTAAATGTGATTAGAGACTAAATGTGATCAGAGACTAAATGTGATTAGAGACTAAATGTGATTAGAGACTAAATGTGATCAGAGACTAAATGTGATCAGAGACTAAATGTGATTAGAGACTAAATGTGATTAGAGACTAAATGTGATCAGAGAGAGACTAAATGTGATTAGAGACTAAATGTGATTAGAGACTAAATGTGATTAGAGGCTAAATGTGATTAGAGACTAAATGTGATTAGAGACTAAATGTGATTAGAGGCTAAATGTGATCAGAGAGAGACTAAATGTGATTAGAGACTAAATGTGATTAGAGGCTAAATGTGATTAGAGAGAGACTAAATGTGATTAGAGAGAGACTAAATGTGATTAGAGGCTAAATGTGATTAGAGACTAAATGTGATCAGAGAGAGACTAAATGTGATTAGAGACTAAATGTGATTAGAGACTAAATGTGATTAGAGACTAAATGTGATTAGAGACTAAATGTGATTAGAGACTAAATGTGATTAGAGGCTAAATGTGATTAGAGAGAGACTAAATGTGATTAGAGAGAGACTAAATGTGATTAGAGGCTAAATGTGATTAGAGAGAGACTAAATGTGATGAGAGACTAAATGTGATTAGAGACTAAATGTGATTAGAGACTAAATATGATTAGAGACTAAATGTGATTAGAGAGAGGCTAAATGTGATGAGAGACTAAATGTGATTAGAGACTAAATGTGATATGAGTCTAAATGTGATTAGAGACTAAATGTGATTAGAGACTAAATGTGATTAGAGACTAAATGTGATCAGAGAGAGACTAAATGTGATTAGAGACTAAATGTGATTAGAGGCTAAATGTGATTAGAGACTAAATGTGATTAGAGACTAAATGTGATTAGAGACTAAATGTGATATGAGTCTAAATGTGATTAGAGACTAAATGTGATTAGAGACTAAATGTGATTAGAGAATAAATGTGATTAGAGAGAGACTAAATGTGATTAGAGACTAAATGTGATCAGAGACTAAATGTGATCAGAGGCTAAATGTGATTAGAGGCTAAATGTGATTAGAGACTAAATGTGATTAGAGACTAAATGTGATCAGAGACTAAATGTGATCAGAGACTAAATGTGATCAGAGACTAAATGTGATTAGAGAGAGACTAAATGTGATCAGAGACTAAATGTGATCAGAGACTAAATGTGATTAGAGAGAGACTAAATGTGATCAGAGACTAAATGTGATCAGAGACTAAATGTGATCAGAGACTAAATGTGATTAGAGAGAGACTAAATGTAATCAGAGACTAAATGTGATCAGAGGCTAAATGTGATCAGAGACTAAATGTGATCAGAGACTAAATGTGATTAGAGACTAAATGTGATTAGAGGCTAATGTGATCAGAGACTAAATGTGATTAGAGACTAAATGTGATTAGAGACTAAATGTGATCAGAGACTAAATGTGATTAGAGACTAAATGTGATCAGAGACTAAATGTGATTAGAGAGAGACTAAATGTGATCAGAGACTAAATGTGATTAGAGAGAGACTAAATGTGATCAGAGGCTAAATGTGATTAGAGACTAAATGTGATTAGAGACTAAATGTGATCAGAGACTAAATGTGATTAGAGACTAAATGTGATCAGAGACTAAATGTGATTAGAGACTAAATGTGATTAGAGGCTAAATGTGATCAGAGGCTAAATGTGATCAGAGACTAAATGTGATTAGAGACTAAATGTGATCAGAGACTAAATGTGATTAGAGACTAAATGTGATTAGAGGCTAAATGTGATTAGAGACTAAATGTGATTAGAGAGAGACTAAATGTGATTAGAGGCTAAATGTGATCAGAGACTATATGTGATTAGAGACTAAATGTGATTAGAGGCTAAATGTGATCAGAGACTAAATGTGATTAGAGACTAAATGTGATTAGAGACTAAATGTGATTAGAGACTAAATGTGATTAGAGACTAAATGTGATTAGAGGCTAAATGTGATTAGAGAGAGGGTAAATGTGATTAAAGACTAAATGTGATCAGAGACTAAATGTGATCAGAGACTAAATGTGATTAGAGGCTAAATGTGATTAGAGAGAGACTAAATGTGATTAGAGAGAGGCTAAATGTGATTAGAGAGAGGCTAAATGTGATTAGAGGCTAAATGTGATCAGAGACTAAATGTGATTAGAGAGAGACTAAATGTGATTAGAGACTATATGTGATTAGAGACTAAATGTGATTAGAGGCTAAATGTGATCAGAGACTAAATGTGATTAGAGATAGATTAAATGTGATTAGAGACTATATGTGATTAGAGACTAAATGTGATTAGAGGCTAAATGTGATTAGAGAGAGACTAAATGTGATTAGAGACTAAATGTGATTAGAGACTATATGTGATTAGAGACTAAATGTGATTAGAGACTAAATGTGATTAGAGAGAGACTAAATGTGATTAGAGACTAAATGTGATCAGAGACTATATGTGATTAGAGGCTAAATGTGATTAGAGGCTAAATGTGATTAGAGAGAGACTAAATGTGATTAGAGACTAAATGTGATCAGAGACTAAATGTGATTAGAGATAGATTAAATGTGATTAGAGACTATATGTGATTAGAGACTAAATGTGATTAGAGGCTAAATGTGATTAGAGAGAGGCTAAATGTGATCAGAGACTAAATGTGATTGGAGACTAAATGTGATTAGAGAGAGACTAAATGTGATCAGAGACTATATGTGATTAGAGACTATATGTGATTAGAGGCTAAATGTGATGAGAGACTAAATGTGATTAGAGAGAGGCTAAATGTGATCATAGACTAAATGTGATTAGAGGCTATATGTGATTAGAGAGAGGCTAAATGTGATTAGAGACTAAATGTGATTAGAGACTAAATGTGATTAGAGACTAAATGTGATTAGAGGCTAAATGTGATTAGAGACTAAATGTGATTAGAGAGAGACTAAATGTGATTAGAGACTAAATGTGATCAGAGACTAAATGTGATTAGAGACTAAATGTGATCAGAGACTAAATGTGATTAGAGGCTAAATGTGATTAGAGACTAAATGTGATTAGAGACTAAATGTGATCAGAGACTAAATGTGATTAGAGGCTAAATGTGATTAGAGAGAGACTAAATGTGATCAGAGACTAAATGTGATTAGAGACTATATGTGATTAGAGACTATATGTGATTAGAGACTATATGTGATTAGAGACTAAATGTGATTAGAGACTAAATGTGATTAGAGACTAAATGTGATTAGAGACTAAATGTGATTAGAGACTAAATGTGATTAGAGACTAAATGTGATTAGAGACTAAATGTGATCAGAGACTAAATGTGATTAGAGACTAAATGTGATCAGAGACTAAATGTGATCAGAGACTAAATGTGATTAGAGGCTAAATGTGATTAGAGACTAAATGTGATTAGAGACTAAATGTGATTAGAGACTAAATGTGATCAGAGACTAAATGTGATTAGAGACTAAATGTGATTAGAGAGAGACTAAATGTGATCAGAGACTAAATGTGATTAGAGACTAAATGTGATTAGAGGCTAAATGTGAATAGAGACTAAATGTGATTAGAGAGAGACTAAATGTGATTAGAGGCTAAATGTGATCAGAGACTATATGTGATTAGAGACTAAATGTGATTAGAGGCTAAATGTGATCAGAGACTAAATGTGATTAGAGACTAAATGTGATTAGAGACTAAATGTGATTAGAGGCTAAATGTGATTAGAGAGAGGCTAAATGTGATTAGAGACTAAATGTGATCAGAGACTAAATGTGATTAGAGACTAAATGTGATAGAGCTTAAATGTGATTAGGAGAGGCTAAATGTGATCAGAGGACTAAATGTGATCAGAGATCTAAATGTGATCAGAGGGGGACTAAATGTGATTAGAGACGAGCACGAAATGTAATCAGAAGACTAATGTAGATCAGAGGCTCAATGTGATCAGAGATAAATGTGATCAGAGGACTAAATGTGATTAGAGACTCAATGTGATTAGAGGCTAAATGTTGATCAGAGGACTAAATGTGATTAGAGGACTAAATGTGATTATAGCCTACTAAATGTGATCAGAGAGACCTAATGTGATTAGAGACTAAACTGTGATCAGGAGACTAAATGTGATTAGAGAGAGACTAAATGTGATTCAGAGGACTAAATGTGATTAGAAGAGAGACTAAATGTGATTCAGAGGCTAACTAATGTGATTAGAGAATAACTGTGATTAGAGCCTCTAAATGTGATCAGGAGACTCTAAATGTGATTTAGAAGCTCCTAAATGTGATCAGCGACTAATGTGATTAGAGACTAAATGTGATTAGAGGCTAAATGTGATCAGAGGCTAAATGTGATCAGAGACTAAATGTGATTAGAGACTAAATGTGATCAGAGACTAAATGTGATTAGAGACTAAATGTGATTAGAGGCTAAATGTGATTAGAGACTAAATGTGATTAGAGAGAGACTAAATGTGATTAGAGGCTAATGTGATCAGAGACTATATGTGATTAGAGACTAAATGTGATTAGAGGCTAAATGTGATCAGAGACTAAATGTGATTAGAGACTAAATGTGATTAGAGACTAAATGTGATTAGAGACTAAATGTGATTAGAGACTAAATGTGATTAGAGGCTAAATGTGATTAGAGAGAGGGTAAATGTGATTAGAGACTAAATGTGATCAGAGACTAAATGTGATCAGAGACTAAATGTGATTAGAGGCTAAATGTGATTAGAGAGAGACTAAATGTGATTAGAGAGAGGCTAAATGTGATTAGAGAGAGGCTAAATGTGATTAGAGGCTAAATGTGATCAGAGACTAAATGTGATTAGAGAGAGACTAAATGTGATTAGAGGGACTATATTGTGATTTAGAGACTAAATGTGATTAGAGGCTAAATGTGATCAGAGACTAAATGTGATTAGAGATAGATTAAATGTGATTAGAGACTATATGTGATTAGAGACTAAATGTGATTAGAGGCTAAATGTGATTAGAGAGAGACTAAATGTGATTAGAGACTAAATGTGATTAGAGACTATATGTGATTAGAGACTAAATGTGATTAGAGGCTAAATGTGATTAGAGAGAGACTAAATGTGATTAGAGACTAAATGTGATCAGAGACTAAATGTGATTAGAGATAGATTAAATGTGATTAGAGACTATATGTGATTAGAGACTAAATGTGATTAGAGGCTAAATGTGATTAGAGAGAGGCTAAATGTGATCAGAGACTAAATGTGATTGGAGACTAAATGTGATTAGAGAGAGACTAAATGTGATCAGAGACTATATGTGATTAGAGACTATATGTGATTAGAGGCTAAATGTGATGAGAGACTAAATGTGATTAGAGAGAGGCTAAATGTGATCATAGACTAAATGTGATTAGAGGCTATATGTGATTAGAGAGAGGCTAAATGTGATTAGAGACTAAATGTGATTAGAGACTAAATGTGATTAGAGACTAAATGTTGATTAGAGGCCTAAATGTGATTAGAGACTAAATGTGATTAGAGAGAGACTAAATGTGATTAGAGAACTAAATGTGATCAGAGACTAATGTGATTAGAGACTTAAATGTGATCAGAGACTAAATGTGATTAGAGGCTAAATGTGATTAGAGACTAATGTGATTAGAGGACTAAATGTGATCAGAGGACTAAATGTTGATTAGAGGCTAAATGTGATTAGAGAGAGACTAAATGTGATCAGAGACTAAATGTGATTAGAGACTATATGTGATTAGAGACTATATGTGATTAGAGGGACTATATGTGATTAGAGACTAAATGTGATTAGAGACTAAATGGGATTAGAAGACTAAATGTGATTAGAGGACTAAGTAAAAATGGTATTAGAGACTAAATGTAGAGACTAAATGTGATCAGAGACTAAATGTGATTAGAGGACTAAATGTGATCAGAGACTAAATGTGATCAGAGGACTAAATGTGATTAGAGGCTAAATGTGATTAGAGACTAAATGTGATTAGAGACTAAATGTGATTAGAGACTAAATGTGATCAGAGACTAAATGTGATTAGAGACTAAATGTGATTAGAGACTAAATGTGATTAGAGGCTAAATGTGATTAGAGAGAGGCTAAATGTGATTAGAGGCTAAATGTGATTAGAGAGAGGCTAAATGTGATTAGAGACTAAATGTGATTAGAGACTAAATGTGATTAGAGGCTAAATGTGATTAGAGAGAGGCTAAATGTGATCAGAGGCTAAATGTGATCAGAGACTAAATGTGATTAGAGACTAAATGTGATTAGAGACTAAATGTGATTAGAGACTAAATGTGATTAGAGGCTAAATGTGATCAGAGACTAAATGTGATTAGAGAGAGACTAAATGTGATTAGAGACTATATGTGATTAGAGACTAAATGTGATTAGAGGCTAAATGTGATTAGAGAGAGACTAAATGTGATTAGAGACTAAATGTGATTAGAGACTATATGTGATTAGAGGCTAAATGTGATTAGAGACTAAATGTGATTAGAGACTAAATGTGATTGGAGACTAAATGTGATTAGAGAGAGACTAAATGTGATCAGAGACTAAATGTGATCAGAGACTAAATGTGATCAGAGACTATATGTGATCAGAGACTATATGTGATTAGAGACTATATGTGATTAGAGGCTAAATGTGATTAGAGAGAGGCTAAATGTGATTAGAGACTAAATGTGATTAGAGGCTAAATGTGATTAGAGGCCAAATGTGATTAGAGGCCAAATGTGATTAGAGGCTAAATGTGATTAGAGACTATATGTGATCAGAGACTAACTGTGATTAGAGGCTAAATGTGATTAGAGAGAGGCTAAATGTGATTAGAGGCTAAATGTGATCATAGACTAAATGTGATTAGAGGCTAAATGTGATTAGAGAGAGGCTAAATGTGATTAGAGGCTAAATGTGATTAGAGACTATATGTGATTAGAGAGAGGCTAAATGTGATTAGAGACTAAATGTGATTAGAGACTAAATGTGATTAGAGGCTAAATGTGATTAGAGACTATATGTGATTAGAGAGAGACTAAATGTGATCATAGACTAAATGTGATTAGAGGCTAAATGTGATTAGAGACTAAATGTGATTAGAGAGAGACTAAATGTGATTAGAGACTAAATGTGATCAGAGACTAAATGTGATTAGAGACTAAATGTGATTAGAGACTACATGTGATTAGAGGCTAAATGTGATTAGAGGCTAAATGTGATTAGAGACTAAATGTGATCAGAGACTAAATGTGATCAGAGACTAAATGTGATTAGAGAGAGGCTAAATGTGATTAGAGACTAAATGTGATTAGAGGCTAAATGTGATTAGAGGCTAAATGTGATTAGAGACTAAATGTGATCAGAGACTACATGTGATTAGAGACTAAATGTGATTAGAGACTAAATGTGATTAGAGACTAAATGTGATCAGAGACTAAATGTGATTAGAGAGAGACTAAATGTGATCAGAGACTAAATGTGATTAGAGACTAAATGTGATTAGAGACTAAATGTGATTAGAGACTAAATGTGATTAGAGACTAAATGTGATTAGAGAGAGACTAAATGTGATTAGAGACTAAATGTGATTAGAGACTACATGTGATTAGAGGCTAAATGTGATTAGAGGCTAAATGTGATTAGAGACTAAATGTGATCAGAGACTAAATGTGATTAGAGAGAGGCTAAATGTGATTAGAGACTAAATGTGATTAGAGGCTAAATGTGATTAGAGACTAAATGTGATCAGAGACTAAATGTGATTAGAGACTACATGTGATTAGAGACTAAATGTGATTAGAGACTAAATGTGATCAGAGACTAAATGTGATTAGAGACTAAATGTGATCAGAGACTAAATGTGATTAGAGACTAAATGTGATCAGAGACTAAATGTGATTAGAGACTAAATGTGATTAGAGACTAAATGTGATTAGAGACTAAATGTGATTAGAGACTAAATGTGATTAGAGAGAGACTAAATGTGATTAGAGACTAAATGTGATTAGAGACTAAATGTGATTAGAGACTAAATGTGATTAGAGAGAGACTAAATGTGATTAGAGACTAAATGTGATTAGAGACTAAATGTGATCAGAGACTAAATGTGATTAGAGACTAAATGTGATTAGAGACTAAATGTGATTAGACTAAATGTGATTAGAGACTAAATGTGATTAGAGACTAAATGTGATCAGAGAGAGACTAAATGTGATTAGAGAGAGACTAAATGTGATCAGAGACTAAATGTGATTAGAGACTAAATTAAAGTAAAATGAAAACTTGCCACGTCAGCAGGACTCTGGAGGTCATGTGATGCCAGCGTCTGTGGAGACACCTGAACACATCACCTGCTGACCCACCTGGAGAAAACACACACACTTCATACATCATATGGTTCACAAGAGGGGGGGGGGGAGGAAGAGGAAGGGGGGAGGGGGGAGGAGGAGGAGGAGGAGGAGGAGGAGGAAAATACCTCCAGTGTGCATGGAGGATAATCACTTCAAACTCAATGCATGATGGGGATAACTCCAAGTTTAAAAGCGGTAAACACGTCACGTCAAAACAATCTGAGTTTCTGTAAACTATTGCACGTTCGTGACGAAAAGAGACAACTTTCTGTGAACTTGTTGAAAGAGAAATTTAGAAAGATTCCTCCATGTTGGGATGTTCTTCATCCGAGTGAGTAGATAAACATTACAGAGTGTGGTGTTAGTTTAAAACTCACGCAGAGATGCGCCGGGATGCTGCCGCTCCGACGGGGTCATGACTGCAGAAGATCGAACTGCAACACAGGAAGGATTTAGTGTGTGTGTGTGTGTGTGTGTGTGTGTGTGTGTGTGTGTGTGTGTGTGTGTGTGTGTGTGTGAGAGAGAGAGATTTGCATCATGTCATGGCAACAGCCAAAGTGAGAGAGGTGCATTTGTTTGGAGGGAAACACGAGAACAGGTGAGACTCATCATGGGAAACTAAATAATAATTAAGGGCCCTTTGTGTGGCGTTCCCTTTAAACCCCCATAAACCAAACGGCGTGGATGTGATGCCCCTGTGTGACACCAGTGCACCCCCACACACACCTGTTGGCAGTACCTGTGTGTGTGGTCAGAGGCAGGCAGCAGTGAGAGCAGCACGCTGACGCAGCGCTCTGCAGCTCTGCTCAGCCCGGAGGAGGCGCGGCACCGCTGCAGCTCACCTGCAACAGGAAGCATTCACACACATGGAGGGACAGCTGCTGGTCCCTGAAGGCACCATCTCCCTGGGCCAATGGGATTCCTCCGTGGGATTTTGGATTATGTCACAAAATAATCTGTTTATGATGCTTACACTTTTAGGTGTGTGTCACATGTGTGTGTACCTGTGACATTGTGTGTACCTGTGACATGGTGTGTGTGTACCTGTGACATGGTGTGTGTGTGTACCTGTGACATTGTGTGTACCTGTGACATGGTGTGTGTACCTGTGACATGGTGTGTGTGTACCTGTGACACGGTGTGTGTGTACCTGTGACACGGGGTGTGTGTACCTGTGACATGGTGTGTGTACCTGTGACATGGTGTGTGTGTACCTGTGACATGGTGTGTGTGTACCTGTGACATGGTGTGTGTACCTGTCATGTGTGTGTACCTGTGACATGGTGTGTGTGTGTACCTGTGACATGGTGTGTGTACCTGTGACATGGTGTGTGTACCTGTGACATGGTGTGTGTACCTGTGACATGGTGTGTGTGTACCTGTGACATGGTGTGTGTGTGTACCTGTGACATGGTGTGTGTGTACCTGTGACATGGTGTGTGTACCTGTGACATGGTGTGTGTACCTGTGACATGGTGTGTGTACCTGTGACATGGTGTGTGTACCTGTGACATGGTGTGTGTACCTGTGACATGGTGTGTGTACCTGTGACATTGGTGTGTAACCTTGACATGGTGGTGTTGTACCTGTGACTGGTGTGTGTACCTGTGACATGGTGTGTGTGTACCTGTGACATGGTGTGTGTGCCTGTGACATGTGTGTGTGTACCTGTGACATGGTGTGTGTGTGTGTACCTGTGACATGGTGTGTGTACCTGTGACATGGTGTGTGTGTACCTGTGACATGGTGTGTGTGTCACATGGTGTGTGTACCTGTGACATGGTGTGTGTGTGTGTGTGTGTACCTGTGACATGGTGTGTGTGTACCTGTGACATGGTGTGTATGTGTGTACCTGTGACATGGTGTGTGTGTAGCTGTGACATGGTGTGTGTGTACCTGTGACATGGTGTGTGTGTGTGTACCTGTGACATGGTGTGTGTGTCACATGGTGTGTGTACCTGTGACATGGTGTGTGTGTGTGTACCTGTGACATGGTGTGTGTGTACCTGTGACATGGTGTGTATGTGTGTACCTGTGACATGGTGTGTGTGTGTACCTGTGACATGGTGTGTGTGTACCTGTGACAT